ATAAATCTATTGGGATTACCTGCGAACTCAAGTACTCCCTATCAATCAAATGATCTTATAATTTCTGATTCAAATATTGGAATAGAAAGAAGCCATAATGCTTTAAACAATGAGGTGTTAACAGCAGAGAATTGTTCTGCAGAAGTAGTTTCTGTGGACAACAGAAATTTGTTCTCTTTACTTCTTACAGTTGACGAAGAAGGGAAGAATGTTGACTTGGTGGATAACGAAGAAGATGAACTATCAGAAAACGAAAGAATTGCTGTTAATGAGGTGCCTCAAGTTGACTGGAAGAATTCTATAAAGAAATAAAGCAAAGATGATGCTATTCAGAATTCTGTAATATATGTGAAATTGGTAAAATCTGTTCCTTCAACACAAAAACAGAAGTTATTAAAAGAACTTAAACACTTGGGGCCTTTGAGTAATACTACCAGATCAAAAAAAGCTGAAACATTTCCTAACGGTAAATGTGGGGGTCCTTCCCCAACTTTATCTAAATGACTTCACTTGCATTTTGGAATTGTAAGGGGGCTAATAAAAGGGAAGCCTCCCTTTACTTAAATGATTTTGTTAAAAACTGGGATGTTTTTCTTGTTGGAGTGGTTGAAACCAAAATATCTTCCTTTGAAAGGTATGAAGTGAACAAATGTTTAGGGGATGATTGGGATTACTTTCTTCTACCCTCGATTGGTGCATCTGGTGGAATCATGGTTTTTTGGAAAGTCAATATTGCAAAGTTTTCTTTGATCAAAGCTTCTTCTCAATGTGTGATTGGGGAATTATGCCTCTTTAATAATAGCAAATGGTTGATTTCTACTATTTATGGTAACAAAAATGCAGTTCTAAGAAGAAAACTGTGGAAAGATCTTGAAGAAAACAACAGTACAAATATCCCTATGATAATAGGAGGGGATTTCAATTGTATACTTTCTCAAGAAGAAAAGAGAGGTGGGAAGAAGTTCACTTTTTCTCAAGGTCCCCAAGATATGGCTGCATTTATGGCAAGAAATGACCTCCATAATGTGGGAATCATAAGTCCCAAATTTACATGGTGCAACAACAAAAGTGGAAATGCTCGTATTCTTGAGAGATTAGACAGGTGTCTTTTGAACTCCAAGGCTCTTAACATGATTCAGAATGCTGTGGTAAGACATTTACCTAGAATAGCCTCTGATCATTATCCTTTAATCATTAGAATCATTCAGGATAAATTATTTCAAACCAAGCAGATAAAATTTGAAGAAGTCTGGGCTTCTTTTCCAGCTGCCAAAGGTATTGTCTTAAAATCTTGGAACAAACCGGTCCAGGGGAATGATATGGATATTGTTAATGTTAAGTGTAAGAGGTCTTTAAAGGCTCTTTATTACTGGAGTAGACAAAAGTTAAAAAGTTTTAAATATAGCAATGACCGTTTGAAAAAAGAAATTGTTGACATTCAATTAGAAGAAGCGAATGGGAATGTAATGGAGCAAGAGAAACTTATTCCGCTGAGACAAAAAATTCATGAATTCAACGTGAACTTAGCACGGTTAAGCACCTGGTGGAGGCAAAGAACAAAGCTTAAATGGATTCAAGATAATGATACAAATTCAAAATTTTTCCATTCCTTTGCTAATGGTAGACGAATGGGAAATCTTATTCATCAGTTGAAAAATGATGAAGGAACTCAAGTTGAGGATCAAGCAGAAATTGAGGATATTCTGTTGAATTTCTTTAACAACAAATGGAGAAAAAGAGATGGCTACGTGAAGGGATGGCCTCCATTTTTTAATTCCATTTCAGCAGCAGATGGTAAATTATTAGAAGAAGCTTTATCTTATTCAGAATTGACTGCAGTTATCAATGAAAGCGGCTCTAACATCTCTCCTGGATTGGATGGCACTACTTATTCTTTCTTCAAACATTACTTTATTTGGGATAAACAAGAAGGTCTTCATGGACTTCATTATATCTCATGGGAAAAGATGTGCAGACCTTGGAAAGAAGGAGGTCTAGGTATAAAATCAGTGAGTGATATAACTGGTCCTCTAAGAGCAAAATTTGCTTGGAATTTCTTAAAAGAAGAAGACTCGTTGCTATACAAATCGTTGAAAGCTAGATATGGTCCCAAATTCTACAAGAATTCCAACACAGCAAATAAATCGGTCACATGGAAAATTCTGGCTGAAGGTGCTCAATCTCTCAGAACTATCACAAGATGGAAAATTGCTGCAGGAGAGACTATAAACATTCTTGAAGATGCTTGGATCCTTGACAGGAGTTTAGAGCAATGGCCTACTTTTATATCCACAGATATTTCAGAATTCCCGAAACTGGAGGAATTTATTTCGGGTGGATGTTGGAAAGTTGATATGTTGAATAAACATTTTGGAATAGATCTGGTGAAAACAATTATTCAAATTGAAATTGATCCTTCGCTTCCAACTGATAGCATTGAACTGAAGAGTAAATTCTCGGGGAAAAGCATTACGACAATGGATGCAGCTTATAATTCTAATGATATCAGTTCTATTGAATATGGAATATGGCATAAAAAATTAAAGCTCAATCCTAGAATTGAATGTTTTTGGTGGAGGCTGCTCAATGAGGCTATTCCAACCAATGATTTCCTAATGAATCGAAGATTATTGGGACATAATTCATGTCCAAGAGGCTGTGGGAACGAGAAAACACTAACCATATCATGGTTCATTGTCATAAACTGCAGCAAGCTATAGGAATTCTCAATAAATGGGGATTTACATGCCCGTTGTTTTGCTCTGCAAAAGATTGTAAGTATCATTTGGAAAAATTATCTGTTCATAATAGATCTCTGGCAAATTTATACTGCTCTCTAGTCTATTTTTCATGGAAGAGTAGGAATTCAATCAAACATGGAAAGAATGAATGGAGTCTGAACTTCATTGCCGGCAATGCTATTAGTTATGCATCAATCACTTCTTCAAATCTATTCATGGATCACTGGGATACTAACCAACCTTCAAGGCTGAATTCTTTTTGGCATCCCCCTCCCCCAGAATGGATTAAGGTAAATCTTGATGCATCATTAACTAATAACAACAATGGAGGTATAGGTGGTGTTTTTAGAGATTCTAAAGGAAGATTCTTACTCGCTTTTGGAATCAAATGCATGCACTGGGATAATGGAACTTTGGAACTTATGGCCATTCGTTCATTGAATAATTTCATCTACAAGTGGATGTTGGATCCAAAGGGTCTAATAATAGAAGGTGATAATTTCAACATTATCAAACTTCTACAAAAATCTTTTAATAAAGACTCTCGGCTGGTTAACAAAGAGGAGATTGAAGATCTTTCATTTTTGGATGGATTTGGTAACATTCTTTTTCACTTTGTTAATAGAAATTGTAATAAATTAACACACAATTGTGCTAACTTTGCTCTACTTGAAGATTTTCTTTGTGAAGATCTTAGTAACAATAAGGTTCCTCCTTTTTTTTCTCTTTTAAAGGATGAATGTGATAGGTTATCTATCACATAATAGCTTGTAATTGTTTTCCTTTTCATCTTTAATTGCAATTTAGCATTTCCTTCAAAAAATAAATATAGGTCTTTTTAATAAATTATATATTGTTTAGTTTAAAACCATATTTTCTAGCATAGAATCCATATCCATATACCCCACACCCCCCTCCCCCTAAGCAATTTCATAGGAGAAAGAAATCATAGAGATTTAAAAATCAAAATTTATCTTGGTTTGCATCCAACTAGGCTGTATCTGACAGATTAAGGCCTCATTTGTTTCAACGTTTTCTTTCCTTTTCTGTTTTGAAATAGAGAAATTTTTTTTTGGTCCTTGTTTGGATGTGATGCTTCTATAGAAATGCTTTTTAGGTAACTTCATTTTTCTACTGTTTTGAGAAGCTTTTTGATATTTGCTTCTCCGTTAGAAAACTCCATTCCCTTAACCATTGTTTCTAAAACTACCTTTTACAAAAGGAGAGAAGTAACCAAACGAAGGCCTCGTTTGTTTCAGCGATTTTTTCCTTTTTTGTTTTGAAACAGATAAATTTTTTTTTGGTCGCTGTTTAGATGGGACGCTTTTATAGAAATGTTTTATAGAGAACTTCATTTTTCTAGTGTTTTGAGAAGCTTTTTGATATTTAATTATCCATTAAAAAAATTCCATTTTGTTAACCATTGCTTCTAAAATTATTTTTACAAGAGGAAAAACCAAAAGAAGCCCAAGCCTAAGTTCTTGATCCGAAATGCAAGTCTAGTTCCTGGATCTGAATCTACCCAATTTCACCCGATGACCCAAACTGCATCCCCATGTGACCAGGGTGTTACATGCCGCTTTTCGGTAAATCCTTTTGCTCTTTCACATTATATTTTCACGAATATGCTCTATCTCCTAATTCTCCTAGATTTCGGCAGCAAATACCATGGAAAAAAAACCTAGTGTTTTCTCGCTAGTTGATTTTATGCAATCTAAATTGTCTTGATTTTTATTTTTTGGTCTAACATTTAGGGACTATTTGGCAACAAGTGGGATTTAACTTTAGTAGGACTTAGTAAATCCTATAAATATGGATTTAGTAAATCCGAAATGTGTTAAATCCTGAAAACTATTTGGTATGTAAAATGTTAAATCCTGTTAAATTCTGAGAAACTGTTTGGTACATATTTCAAGATTTATAGTAGTTAGGGATTTAAATGTGAAGAAAATAATTATAAATTTAAAAATAAATGTATAATTAAAAATAAAAATTAATGTGTTATGAATTTAATAACATATTATGTACAAATTACTTATTAACTATTAATTACACTATTAATTATATACATAATAATATATATATTTTAAGTTATATTAATTAAGCTAATTATATTAATATTAATTAATATTTATAAAATTAAGTTAAATCTAGATTATTAATTTATACACTAACTATATAATTATTATTTAATTAATTTACTTAATTATTAATAATTTAAATTATATTAATTAAGTTCATCAATAATAACATAAGGCGTCTAGGTTTGCCTTTCATCCTCTCTTTTCGTCCTTGCTGCTCGGCTTCGTTGCTTTGCAGGAGGTGTATAGATTGCACGCGTCGCTTCTTCGGCTCCTTCCTGGCTATTCGACTTCGCTCCTTCTACGACTTTCTCTCCTGTCCGATCGGAAGTTACGACATTTTGATCAGAAGCAAGAACAGGAGCTCGTTAGCTGTGAAGGCTAAACTTTCTCCCTTTCGCGCGCTTATTCGGCTAAATCACGTTAAATCCACCGAACCGAGGGATTTAGTAAATCCGGGATTTAAACCGTAAATTCCTAAATTTGGGATTTATGAAATCCCGGGATTTAAAGCGCGCACAAAAACCGTTTGGCTGGATTTAGCGTAAATCCGACTTAAATCCCAACATAATTCCGATACCAAACAGCCCCTTAATTTAGAAAAATTTCGGATTTTTCGATGGCTCCGTTTATACTGGCCACTAAATCTGAGAAATACCCTGGTGTTTCGTTAGGTATTAATCTATCGCTTATGTAATGATTTATACTACTGAGCAAACGCGGCTTGATTCCTAGGAAGCGATTCGTGTTGATTTCCGGTTATGTATTGGTCCTTTTTATCCTTGATATTTGATTCCAGGTTTTGCAGATTCTTGCAAGAGTAAACTCTGCATTTCCGTTTTGGAACAGAAAAAACCGTTTGCTTCAGTCACTATGAGTGAAGATAAGCCATTTGATTTCCTACGTGTACTGCGCGGTGAGTTTCAATTTTGTTGAATTGTATGTTGAGTAGGTTGGAGAGATTGTTTAGCTTTTAAATCCATGCCTGTTTCAGTTCGAGAATGTTGTGAAAATTCTTCGTTGGAATTTTTAGGTGTGAGTGGTGTTATATGAACTTATTTTATACTTTTACATGTTATTAATTCTTATTATTTTGTTTGTTTTAGATTATATAGGAAAAAGAAAATGAAGAGTGCATTTATTTTAATCATGTCTGAACGAACTTGAGTGCTTCACATTTTTTTTTGTTATCATCAATTCATTTTGCATATCTTAATTCATGTATTCAACTTTAAAATTAATAATGTAGCTTCAGGCTCAAGAGACAAAAAATCTTACAATGTTAATTTAATTGATTTATAGATATCGAAAGCAAATGAAATACTTGAGTTTAATGCATACAATAATTTCATTTTTGCTCCACTCATGTTTAAGAGCCAACTTTTTTATCCTTCTATAGTGATTAAAAGTGAAGAGGTATGCTTCTCCCTCTTTATGTTTGCTCGTTTACTTTTTTGCTATTCATTAGTTTTATTGAATGCTTATGACTAATGTTTGCTCATGGGAAAAGCCATTTGGATTTATGATGGAAAATAAAAAAATTTGAATCTGATGGAACACAACATTGACCAATTCTTACCTTAAACTAGAATGTAAATTGAGGATACCATAAATTTAAATTGGTGCTTAACCCATGTATGGCTTAATTGATGGAAACTAATCAATCTAAAGCCTTGAGTTTATAATTTAAGCTTAGGAATTAAAATTTAACAGGCATCAAGGTAGTTTCTTTGAGATTCATCAATTGGCTAGTTGATCATGCAGTATTTGGTAAAGATTCCTTTTTTAGTTAGAAATTGAAACTAGAGTAATGCTACACTCCCAAATGGATCCATACTTAAAAATTTGTGCCATAACACTACTTCAAATGAAATTAATAAATATGACCACTTAAAAAGATAGTGCAATTATGAGACAGAAGATGCTTTTAAGCCCACGGTGTCATATGTTTCCTTCTACCTCTTTTAGAATTTTGGGAAAGGATAATTGAGTAGCATTGAATTCAAAGTAGGCTATAATAACATCCTAGATATTTTCCTTTGATTTATATATTAAGTGATTGGATGGGGATGAATGGTCAACATAATCAATATCACATGGTTTTGTTATCTCAGGTTAACCTGGTGAACCCGATCAACCAATGAAAGATGGTTGAAAGGCTACATCACCTTAGGAGTTTGATTAATATCCATGAGTTACGTCTTATTAGATATCTCAGGTATAGTGTGTTGGGGAGGATGTATGTTTGAAGGCATGCCCCATCAATTTGAAGCTTTGTCTTAGACCTAAAAAGTTCCATGGTCATCAGTATGATTGATTGTGGTTTAGAAGTTTATGGGTTTAATCTCCAAAGGAACAAAGAAATTGGGCTTGATATATGCATGATGCGGTTGGTTCAAAGGGACTATGCTTGGTTAAGTGCAATTAGAAGTGTTTATATGTGTTTGTCTCTTTCTCAAGGACACTAACATAACTAGTTTGATTGTCTGTGACGAGTTAGGCTCATCTGAGGTGTAAGAGATAAGGGGAAAGAGTGCATGCCATGGGAAGCCTCAATCCCTCTTCGTGAGGATTAATTCTCTAGTGGCCTTTTTGGTGATTGCTAGCATCTTGTGGTAGGGAGCTTATTGTTGTATCTACAAGTTGCAATAAGAAGGGAGCCTTGAGTTAAACGAAACTGTCACTTCAAAGCATTTAATAAAGTAAAGGGATGCCCACCTTAGTGAGTATATAATTTTTGATTGACCTTGGCATATTAACTCTAATATTTTGGAGGCTAAGGCTTGTTTTTTTAATTTAGATTTGCTAAAAAAGTGAGACTTATGGGCTTATGACTTAGCCAAATGTTATGTGTGGGACTTATGGGGTTAAGACTCATCCCAAGTAAATATGTGGGACTTATGAGGTCATGGCTTTGCCAAGATTTATGTACAGGACTTCTGGGTTATGGATCAACTCAAATATATAAGTGAGACTTATGGGGTTATGATCTTTACCAAGTAAAACGAAATGTTTGATAATTTGGTCCAAAATAATTTTTATATTGATGTTAACTTAGGGTTGATGCTTACATCTATAGATGGTAGAGAAGCTCAACAGTTTGTTTTATAGCCTAATATTATAGGCGTGGAGGTCCAAATTGAAATATTCATCATAAATTGCCTTGAAGACATTATGCAAAAAGGCATTCCTGTAAATTTATTGAGCCGAGCAGGAGCTTGAGCTAATTTTTGCCAAAACATTGTTTGAGCTTGAGCTCGATTCAGTTTTTTGTAGTAGTACTCAAGCTCAATTCATTTTAAGTTATGAATGTTTGTGCCTGGTTTGTATTTGACATATTAGCTAATCAAACGAGCCTCATCAAGTAACACTATGAACATATTGGCTAATCAAATGAGTCTCATCAAGTCTATTAATGAGAAACTCTATCAAGGAGCTTATTAGTTAGCTGAACAAGCCCTTTGAAAGGAATGTTTCATATTACTTACAAAGACAAATATAATTTATATAAACATTGTATCTTTAGGCTTTCCAGAATGCCAAAAAATACATGCATGAGGTCTTGAAGGTGTACCTAAAATTCCGTATTCATATATTTATAAATTATTTTTTTCCTACAAGTCAATGCGTAGCAATGCGCGGGGTTATGGCATGCGGTGGGCACAAATAAATGTAACATGCATAGGGGAGCAATAATGGTGTGGCAATTGTAGGTGTGTCACAAAAATGGTGTGTGCAAGGGAGCAATAAGGTATTTTGAGAAGAGAGGGAACATGATGACAGTCTATTGTTGTGGTTAGGAGTTGCGGTTCGAGGCGTTATAGGTTGCGTTTTGCACATTAGCTAGGGGAGATCAAGAGGCAAGGTGCGACTTGAAGGTTGGGCATGCTACAATGCATATGAGCGTGAGGGGTAGCGACGTGTTAGTGCAAGATGCATGAAAATAAGTGGTAGTGGTTAGGGAAGATATATGTGACAATGGTTTAAGTATGTGGTTGATGAGGAGGCTTGATTAGTGCTTGCACAAAGGGCCGAGCAAGCAAACATGGTGCATGATGAGGCGGTACAATAGTAGGTTGGAGGCTGACTTGCATGTGTTTTAGGCTTGTGGCGCATGGGAGACACAACAATTCTTCATAAGGGAGAAGGCTAGTGACAATACTTGGGCATGTTGCAATGGGTGCTACTGCAATGACAAGGGAGTTTAAAATACACGGTGGTAGCATGCGAGAGGGAATACAAGTGTAGGTTTACAAAGAAGGAAAAACATGTGCTTGTCCTAAGCCTAAATGAAAGACTTTATCAAATATATGATACTTCACCCAAATATAAGGCCTTTGACTTAGATATAATGTTTGTTAGATACCAGATCTTTTATTTAAATATTCAGATGTTTTACTCAAGTATGAGGCATTTGAACCATGGTTTAAAATTGCGCAATTAAAGGCACGCCTCAAGGCGCGCCTTTGCACAATTCAGCCCCCAAACGCCTCATTGCCTAAGCAATTTTGGGTTTATGTGAGGCTTACACCTCACGGGCTAAGAGGTGCGCCTCTAAGGCGCTATTGCGCCTTAAGGCGTTATTGCGCAATTAGAGGTGAGGCGCACGCCTCTTAAAACTAGGTGCCACCTACTTAAAATTAGGTCTTTCTTCTATTCTTCCATTCAGTTCTAAGCCAACCCGAACGAAATTCTCTCGCAAGCCTCTTCCATTCGCGAACGTTTCGCTCGGCTCCGCTCGGGTTGGCTTTCTACCGCCTCTCCTGCAGGCGCTACCTCACGCCGGTGAGCAAGAAGGGTCCGGCCGCCCTCTACAAGCACTCCATTATTGGTTTTAAGTATTTTTTTTAGTTCAAGGAAAGTTTTTTCAAGTTATTGAATATCTAGGGTTTTTTATTTTTTGAGATTTTTTGTATGTTTTCGCATTTGTGCATTAGGAAACATGGTTAGGGGCAAGGAAAAGATAAATACATCATTGCGGCGTGATCCTCTTGGAAATACAGTGTAAAATTGATGTAGGAGGCGACGAGAAGACGTATGTGTATTTAAAATGCAATTTTTGTGATAAGGTGGTGAAGGGAGGAGTAACTCGCATGAAGGAACACTTATCCGGCTCACATAAGAATGTAGCACATTATGCGAATGTTCCGGATAACATGAAGGAGGAAATTACAGCTTATATGAAAAAGAGTACGATGGCCAAACATTTACAACATGAGCAATTTGATGAAAGGGTGGAACATGATGCTTACTTTGGGAGCGAGAGTGAAAAGGGCTCTTCCTCCACTATACATAATAGAGGTGCATGGGGTCCTATGGACCAGTATATGACTACTCTAGGAGAGGATAGAGGACAAGCACAGATGATGCCTGCGGTTGGTACCAGAGAGGGTCAATGAAAAATTTACATGGATATTGGCAGATATTTTTTTAAAATGCCATACCATTTAATGTTGCGACATCGCCGGCCTACTTCAATATACTGCGGTCTGTAGGGTTGTATGGGAGAGGGTTGAAGGCACCTTCCATGTACGAGTTGCGAACATGGATTTTGAAAGAGCTGCAGAACACAGAGCATAGCATTGATAAGATTAAACGGACATGGATTGAGACTGATGTTACCATTATGTCAGATGGGTGGTCTGACATGAAGAGTAGGAGCTTGATTAATATCATTATCAATAATCCCTACGACACTGTGTTTTTACGATCAATTGAAGCTTCAAATGAGGTTAAAAATGCTGAATTCATTTTCAATTTACTAGATGGGGTTGTTGAGAAGATTGTGGAGCAATTGGTTGTTCAGGTGGTGACTGACAATGCTAGTGCATACAAAGCAGCTGGTCAGATGTTGATGGAGAAGAGGAAACATCTGTATTAGACCCCTGCGCAGCACACTGTATTGATCTCATATTG